ACGTGCCCCTATTTCAAAGGGAGCTAGCTAAGTTGGAGGAGAATGAATTATCTCTCCACCCTCAGCTCCTCCTTAGGCAGGTTTCACCTGGAAAGTGCTTTGGGAAGGCACCTCCTCCTTCCCTCTGTGGTCTAGTCCCTACCACCCACCCACCCCCAGGTTACTCAGCTCAACCATTCAGAAGAGACAAAGAGGTTGTGTGTGTGTGCGAAAAATGTGTGTGGAGGTTTTTTGTTTGGTCTTTTGGTTTTGGCTCTAATAGAGGGAGTGAAGCACTGCCTTTCATTTGCCGATAAGACCTGGAGGGAGAGAGAGAGGCCCCTCCTTCCTACCTACCCCCCTGCTGACCACAGCTAATGGACTAGCTCCTCTGGGCCTTGGGGCAGCTTAAGTTTCCATAGGAGAAGGGCAGTGGGGGAGGGAATGCCAGCCCAGGCAAGCGATTGTCCCTGGCTTCCCTCTCCTCTCCTTCCCTACTTCCACTCTCTCTGCCTGAACCTATATAGCCTAGAAACCATCGCCCCACTTCCTGCTTTATTTATTTATTTAGACAGAATCTTGCTCTGTCGTCTGGGCTTGAGTGCCCTGGCATTAGCCTAGCTCACTGCAACCTCAAACTTCTGGGCTCAAGTGAGCCTCCTGCCGCAGCCTCCCAAGTAGCTGGGACTACAGGCATGTACCACCATGCCCGGCTAATTTTTTCTATTTTTAGTAGAGACAGGCTATTTTCTATTTTAGTGAGAGACAGGCTTTCACTCTTGCTCAGGCTGGTCTTGAACTCTTGACCTCAAGCAATCCTCCTGCTTCATCCTCCCACCTCCTGCCTTGGTGGCTCAGACTAGGATTACTGGCGTGAGCTACCAAGCTGGCCATCCACCTCCTACTTTAAAATAGAAATATCAATTACTTTCCCCTGAACCTAGCAGAGGGAATCTGAGGTGCATAGGGCAGTTCCATGCCCCTCACTTTTCCTCATTTCCACCCCAGCTACTGGACCACATACCCCTTCTCAGCCTGCTAAGCAGAGGAGGTAGGAACCTCAGAGCTGGAGCCAGGAGCCTGGCCTCCAGGTCCCCAGAACTGCCCTCTCCCAGGCCTCGCTGTATGCAGTGGGCGACTGGCAGGATTATCCTTCTCTAGGACCTTCCCAGGACACACACTGTCTTCCTCCCAACTTGAGCTCCCTCAGGTCCCCCATCTCTGGCTCTCAGCAGGCCACCCTGCTAAGACAGGCCTCTAGCAGGGCTACATTCCTGGAAGCCATGCCCTGGCTTGGCCCACTCATACTCCTGGCTCTAGCATACAGGCTCTCAGGGGGTCCCAGGCAGCCTTTATCCCTTTTCCCTGCTCACCTTGGCCTCTGACCCCCTAGACACACAGGTTGTCAGGACTCAGGATATTTGGCAGGGCCCCTGCTAGCCTTTTTGGCCAGCCGTTGTGGAGATGCAGCTCTGCACCGGGAGGTTATCGACCTAGGGCTGGATTTCAATCTCCACTTGCCTCCTCAGCAAGCTATAACCTACACGACTATGCCTAGTGGCTCTGGCATTTGAAAATCTGTGCACCATGAGGACAGAGATCACCATGTCCATCCCTTTATATCTATTCTATCCAAACCAAAAAAAGGTGCTTCCCCCCCCCCCCGAGAAAATTCTGCAGAAGTAGCTTCCACAGAGAATCCCCATTGCAAACTCCAGATATGACTCTGGGTTAAGTTCCTCTGACATCAAACCTCAATCCCTCTTGCTGCAATCTCTGTCTTCTTTTTCTGGGCTCCACCTCTAGACTCATGGTGTTATTTGATGCTTCAAGGCACTTTCAAACTCCATCTCCTGACACAGCATTTGCTATAAATATGTCTGAAGAGTTTCTTGCTGACAATGCCCAGCAAGATTGCACCCTCCTTCCTGCACCAGGCCTCTGGAGGGACTGGGGACATTGTGATTGCTCTGTGGATTGGGGATTCCTCCTGGCACCCAGCAAGAAGGGGAAGGTGAGAGGGCTGAGATGGTTGGCTTCATGCTCTTGCTGCCCAGAGTGTGGCTAAGCCTGGCACATAATAGGTGCTTGATATATGTTTATTTTAGTCTTAGATCTCACTTTCCCCTCTGGGTTCATTGTGTGTGAGAGGTGACTCCAATTCCACAGAATGGATTGGAGTGAGAAATGAGCCCAGGACACAAGTGGAACTCTAGGGCTGCCCCAGATGGAGGAAGGGGTATTGGTGGCAGGATCCCTAAGTTGGGAAGGGGCTGGCCTGGACTTCACCTTCTCTCCTTCACTAGAGGCAAAGAACCGCTCTTGCCAAACTCCTGACACTTTAAGACTCTGAATCACAGCACAGCCCAAGGGGTTAGTTCAAGTCCTTCTTCCACTCCCACGCATTTACAAGATTTATAAACATCAGAGGTTAACCAGGGAAGCTGGGGTTGAAAAGAGATGGGGGAGGGTGGGGATCCCTGGAAGAGATTTTGGATGTTTGACTCAGATTATAGGCCCAACTGGTGGGAGCTGTATGGAGAAAGAGTTCCCCAACTAGGGGCAGCTGATACATGCCAGGGCTTCTGAAAACCTGGAACAGAGGGCACTGGGGCGTCCTTTAGGAGGGTAGGGCTGCTGACAAGAGCCTGAGGGTGGCCTGGAGAAGGGTCAGAGCCATAGGGGAAGAGGCCTGACCCTGGCGTGTGCAGCTGGAGGGAGTGGGCTCCCATCTGGGTGGAGCCCAGATGAGGCACTATGTTTGGATCCTTCCTTTCTGCCCCTCTGACTCCCTGCAGTTCATGGGCTCCTTCTGTCTCAGTAGGTGCCTGCTTTCAGCCCAGACCAGGGCCCCCCTTTCACAAAGACTATTGAGAGAGGTGTCAGCATTTGGCCTGGAGGCTGGGTTCCCTTCTACCTGCTCCCACTAGCCCTCCTCCCCTCCCTTCTCAGTTTAAGGATCTGAGCTGTGATAGCCATCTCCAACTCAGAATGAGGGCATGGTGCCCGCAGCCTCCCTGGCAATGAATTATTGAAGAGAGTGTAGTGCTAGCTGCTCACAGCTGCTGCCCCTTGGGCCCACCATTGCCTCTCACTGTGCTTCTCACTGCTGAGAGGGGGATGAGTGCTGGGGCCTGCGAAGGGGGTATTAGGCATTAGGCGGAGGCAGGAACTGGAGAGGGATGGAGAAGTGGGGCTCAGGCCTTGGGGAAAAGCTGGTAAAGAGTGTGGGCCCTCATCACGGATCAGCAGGGTATTCTTAGGACAGAGGGAGCTAGCAGCCACCCTGGAACCAGGCTGGGAAGTGGGACTGGGAGGCCCTTGACTGGAATGGTTTCCCAGGACTGGAGTCTGGATTCCCATATTCCTCTGGGTAACACAGAGCCAGAAGGAGTCTGGGTTTCTGGGTTCTTCTTTGACTGATTGGAAGTCAGCACCAGCAAGGGCTATTGGTCATTCAGGGATGCTCTGTGCAGAGGCCTCTGTCCCTTCCCTGCAAATAAGGTCCTGTGTGTGCCATGTAAGGAGGGGTGCAGTTAAGTGTCAGGGTCCTAGACAGCCTTTGTCTGGCATTTGGAAAGAATGGAACATCTGGAGTCTGAAGATCAGAGGGCAAGTCTTAATTCTACCATTTACTTGTTGTGGGCAAGTCATTAACTATCTCAAAAACTCAGTTTCTTACCTTTAAAGAGGGGAAAGAACAATGCTTGCTTAACAAGAGGTTCCGTGAGAATTCAACAGCAACATTTGTGTTTCATAAAAGGTAATTTGCCATATCAAAGGCAGTTATTTTTGGAGATAAGAATACCATAAACAGGGAAGCAGCATGTAGTGGAAAGAACCTGCATAGAGTCAGTGACCTGGGTTTTAGCCCCTGCCTTGTGACTAATCCACAGAAGGACCTCTAAGGTTCCTTCCACTCTGAGATTAAATGATTTGCCAAAGGGCACAATTAGTCAACCCTCAGATATAGATTCAGACCCAGATCTTCAGATTCTACCTCCTGGGTTCTTTCCATTACAGCCACTAGCTGGATACCGTGGCCCACTCTGACCTTCCATGTGCTCAGCACTGCAGGACGTCCCCTAAAAAGTCCCCACACCCGGATGCCACAGCAATTACCACTTCATTCCTTTGTATTATGCATGGCCACACCCCTTCTCTCCTTCAGGAGTAATGCTATAAGTACATTTCTTGACTTTCCAGAGGCAGCGTGAATAATATTATTGAGTTTTGGGACTGCAGTTTTAAAAATAACCTTTTATTATTACAGAGGCAGTATCTATATTGTAGAAAATAAGAAACAAAACAAATCAAAACATTATATGTCTCACCACCCAGAGATGAAGACTATTAACACTTTTGGTGTAATCCGTCTGAATTTTTTTCCATAGAAACATTAAAAAATTGACATATAACTCAATTGCATAAAGTGCATAAATATTAAATATACAATTTAATATTTGAATAGGTGAATTTTTATATTTATACCTATATATCTATGTCTATGTAACCATGTCCGAATAAAGATCTAGGACATTATCTTCACCCCAGACGTTTTCCCCATTCCCTTTCCAAGTCAATATCCAGCCTCCCAAGGGTAAGGGCTATTCAGGCTCTTATCTCCATAGATTAGATTTGCCGGTCCTTGAACTTCGCATAAATGAGAGGGCACATTGTGTATGCCTTTGTATCTGGCTTCTTTCCCACAGCATTATATTTCTGAGACTCATCCTCGTTGCATTTTTCATTGCTGTGTAGTATTCTATTGTTAAAATATATATATATATAGATATATAGATATACCATAATTTATTTATCCATTCTCCTGTTGAGGAACATTCAGAATGATTCCAATTTTGTCTATAATGAATAAAATTGCTAAGAATATTCCTTTTTTTTTTTTTTTCTTGAGACAGAGTCTTACTCTGTTGCCCTGACTAGAGTGCAGTGGCATCATCATAGCTCACTGCATCCTCAAACTCCTGGGCCCAAGTGATCCTTCTGCCTCAGCCTCTCAAAGTGCTGGGATTACAGGCGTGAGCCATGGCATCTGGCCTGCTATGAACATTCTTGAACATGTCTTGTGGTAGACAGACATATGAACTCATTTTTCTCTTAGATGTATACCTAGAAATGGAATTGCTGGGTTATAGGATATACTGTAACTTTTCTTATGAGCACACACATATACAAATGAATGTTTTATTTTTTTGGCAAAATGAGATCCGTAATGAACGTGCTTTTTTTAACTTGCTTTTTTTAAATCAACAGTCTCCCCCTTTCCATTTCATTAATTTTATCTAATCCTAGTCAATATTCAAATCTCCCCAGTTGTCCCCAAAATGTCTTTTTTTTTTTTTTTTTTTTTTTTGAGACAGAGTCTCTGTTGTCCAGGCTAGAGTGCCGTGGCGTCAGCCTAGCTCACAGCAACCTCAAACTCCTGGGCTTGAGTGATCCTTCTGCCTCAGCCTCCCGAGTAGCTGGGACTACAGGCATGCGCCACCATGCCCGGCTAATTTTATATATATATATCAGTTGGCCAATTAATTTCTTTCTATTTATAGTAGAGACGGGGTCTCGCTCTTGCTCAGGCTGGTTTCGAACTCCTGACCTTGAGCAATCCGCCCGCCTCGGCCTCCCAAGAGCTAGGATTACAGGCGTGAGCCACAGCGCCCGGCCCCAAAATGTCTTTTATACCTGATATATCCCAATCAGTATCCAATCGAGGACTACACATTGCACACACATTGCATCTCGTTGCTGCATCCTGTGAGACTCCACCTTAGGTCCTTACTAGCTCTTGGCTGGATATATCAGTTCCTTCCAAGTGGACGTCTTCGCAGGGCTGCTCACAGCAGGGCAGTCTGTGTCTGAGAGAGAGAGAGAGAGAATAGAAATCACAGTCTTTTTGTAACCTAATTTTGAAAGTGGCATCTCATCGCTTTTGCTGCATTTTATTTCTTAGAAGCCAGTCACCAGGTCCAGCCCATGCTCAGAGTGTGGGGCTCACACAAGGGCCTGAGTACAGGGATCCCTGGAAGCCTTTCGTCAGAGCTGCCTACCAGTGCGTTATAGGTAATCTCCCATATTTTATCCATAGGAAGAGCTATATCGATGATTTAAAGGGATATATATATGTGTGTGTGTAAAACTTGAACTTTAACCACTTCGGTACGGCGCTCACCGGCCGCAAACCCTTGCCCACAGGCCGCACTCATAGTCCGCGCAGTAGTTTGTGCTGTGCATTGATGACGAATCCGTTTTGCTCTTGTGTGATGAGGAAAGCTTTAAAGCACTGAAAGCTTGTTTTTCTTTACAGGCAGCTTTCCTTGTAATGTAAATCAGAATAGGTAGCATATACATATATGTTTTCATTACGTTATTTTTAAATGTTCACAATTTTATTTTGATAAATGAAAAATTAGAAAAGTCTTATCACGGCTGTCGACTGAAGTTGACGCTCAGCTGTGTGCCTTCATGTCACGGCTGTCGGCTAAAGTTGCTGTGTGCGTTAATCTGTGGCTGTCGACTATAGTCAATGCTGGTACCGAAGTGGTTAAAACAACCCTGGGGAGGCAAATATCCTTACTTCCATGTTATAGATGAGAAAGCCTCAGAGAGAGCTTCCTTGATCACCCCACCTAAAGCAAGTTCCTCCAGTTACCCCTTATCACACTTTAATTTCCTGCAACACACTTTTAAAAAAATAGACTTTAATTTTTAAAGCAGTATTAACTTCACAGCAAAATTGAGCAGAAAGTACAGAGAGTTCCCATGCACCCCTACCCCCACACATTCACAGACTCCCCACCGTCAGCCTCCTACAGCAGAGTGGTAAATTTGTTAAAATGAATGTACGTTGACACATCATCTTGACACATCATCGTCACCCAAAGCCCACAGTTCACACGAAGCAGGTGAGAATTCTACCAGTGAACCACAAGTGCTACAGTTTATACTTTATACTGGGGATTGCTCTTGGTAATGTACATTCTCTGTGTTTGGACAGATGCCTAGATGACATATATCCACCATTGCAGTGTCATAGAGAATAATTTCACCCTGTCCTAAAAATTCTTGGTGCTCTTCCTATTCATCCGTCCCACCTCCCAACTCCTGCCAACCACTAATCTTTTTACTGTCTCCAAAGTTTTGCATTTTCCAGAATGTCTTCTATTAATAGTTGGAATCATGTAGTATGTAGCCAGATTCTGCAACACACTTTTCATGATCTATAGTTTTCTTATTCATGTGTCTGCTTGTTTACTATCTGCCTTCCTGGACTAGAATGCAAGTTGCATGAGGGCAGGAACTTTGTCTAAAAGCCTTCTGTAAGTAGTATCCCCAGTACCTAGAATTGTTGTGCCTGCCACTTAGTAGGCATTAAGAGACATTTGTTGACAGGAAGAATAAGCTTTGAGTTTTGTCCATGTCACATTCGAATTGTCTGGAATCTAGGTCTCTTTGACTTCAAAGCCCAGGCTGATCTGTTCGTTAATACCACACTGGGAAGGAAATAAGGTGTGTGTGAGGGGTCTGGCGGTGGGGATGTAGGGAAATGGGGGAGTGGGGGTTGGGGGGAGTCAGCCCAGAGAAAGTAAAGAGCAGAAGGAGTGGGAGGCAGGTAGGAGGAGCATAGAGGGCAATGACTTTTCTGCAAAACACTCTCAGCCAAGGGGACAGCTCAGAAGGCTCTATTTTCCCCTTTGAGCTCTGCCTCAACGTGGGCATAGTCTTCTCGTCTTGCTTCTTCTCAACATAGCTGAGAGAGGCTCACTTTAAGCAAGCAAGCAAGCAAAACACTTTACCTAATATTAAGGAAGCACAGAAAGAAAATAAATAATGAAAATGCATAAACTCGAAAACAGCGAAGGGTAGTCTGAAGTATAAAGTTTCCATTCTCACTACGGCTGGCTTTATCCCCGGACTCCCAGACTTGGGTCCTTTGCGTATCTTGTCTCCGAGATAACTGCTACCCAATTCCAAAGGGCTTTTGACAATTTTCCAGTCTCCTCCTTTCCCTGCCCTCCAGTTCCCAGCTTGTTTGCCTGGCGTGGGTGTGGGGACACATTAAGACTTTTAGGTGCCCTAAGCATTACAAAAAATTACAATAATCCCCATGCAGTGCAAAACAATTTAATTCAACTGTAAAAAATTTTAAGAAGTAATTCCCTTCATGTTGTATAAAAACAAAAAAAAAAAAAAGGAAAAAAAATGAAAATAAAAAAATTTAAGAGTGGAGACATATTTTAAAAATTTTTTAGGCCCGGGCGGGTTGGCTCACGCTGTAATCCTAGACTCTGGGAGGCCGGAGTGCGGCGGATTGCTCAGAGGTCAGGAGTTCAAAACCAACCATGAGCCGACAGACCCGTCACTACCATAAACAATAGAAAGAATTAATTTGCCAACTAATATATGATATATAAAAAAATCAGCCGGGCATGGTGGCTCCTGCCTGTAGTCCCAGCTACTCGGGAGGCTGAGGCAGGAGGATCGGTTGAGCCCAGGAGTTTGAGGTTGCTGTGAGCTGTAGGCCTGATGCCACGGCACTCACTCTAGCCTAGGCAAGAAACCGAGACTCTGTCTCAAAAAAAAAAAAATTTCCATGACAAATTTATATTTTTGGGAAAATGTCAAATATGAAATTGTTTCCAAATAAATATTGTGCAGTGCTCCTGCTTTGCTGACACCTAGCATTCGCAATGCCTATCAGGTAGATACTCACTCTTGCACCCTCAACCCCACCTCTGTGAGAATTGTGAAATTTAGGGAAACCACAATACATTGTTGTTTTCCTCATTTGGAGCATTTTTCTGCTGCCATAAAAACTCTGAAGGCTTGGTATGTCCCTAAATTTTTATCTTGAAAATTTTTCAACGTACAGAAAAGTTGTAAAAATAATACAATGAACACATAACTTTTAACCTAGAGTCACTGGTTAACATGATCCCACATTTGCTTTATCTCTGTATAGTTGTGTGTTTTGCTGAACCATGTGAGAGTTAGTTGCAGACATCAACTTTGCTCCTAAATACTTCATCATGTATTACCAAGGACAGCGGCATTTCTACATAACCACATGATAGTTATCACTCAGAAAATTGAACAGTAATACATTATTATCTAATCTAAATCTCCCCAATTGTCCCGATAATGTCTTTATGGCTTTTTCAAAAAAAATCTGGGATCTGATAAAGCATCATGGCTTACATTTAGTGATGTCTCTCTAGTCTCATTAAAGTTTCCCAGCTTTTTTTCCTTCCAAAACATTGATTTTTTTTTTTTTTTTTTTTTGTGAGACCAAGTCTTACTCTGTCACCCGGGGCAGAGTGCAGTGGCGTCATTGTAGCTCACTGCAACCTCAAACTTCTGTGCTCAAGAGATCTTCCTGTCTCAGCCTCCTGAGTAGCTGGGACTATAGTCCTGCACTACTACACCTGGCTACATTTTTCTATTTTTAGTAGAGACAGGGTCTTGTTCTTGCTTAGGCTGGTCTCGAACTCCTGAGTTCAAGCATTCTTTCTGCCTCAGCCTCCCAGAATGCTAGGATTACAGGCATGAGCCATTCATTGCTTTTGGCTGCATTGATATTTTTGAAGTTCATAGGCCAACTGTCTTAGAAATGTCCCTCAGATTGTTTCCTCATGAATAGATTCAGGTTAAACATTTTTGGTAAGAATACAACATAGGTGACATGTGTCATTCCAGTACATCACATGGGGGGCATATCATAGCAGTTTGTCCCACTTTGGTACTCTTAAATATGATCCCTGGGCATCCATAGCATTTTTCTTAATCAAGGAGGATAGAAATGAAGAGACCAAAGAGGAGAGGACCCCAAAGGAAAGACTGTGGTTGTTCATAATGATTCCTGGGGCCAAGACTGCATGAAGTCACAAGGTGATTCCTGCTCCTTGCCACAAAGGTGGTCAGCCTCAGATCCCGTCTGAGCCGAGCCCAGCAGCAACTGAAAAATCTTCCATCTTCCTCCTCATCACCCAAATTCTAAACTAAGGGCTGAGATCTACCTGCGTCAAGACCAAATTAAAAGAGGATTCTTGTCCCACGTGTCTGATCCCCAACATCTGTGTGATGTGCTGGCAATGAGCAGGGAGATAACTGATTTCAGTTATCTGTACTCAGACACAGGCTTATGAGACGAGGAAGACTGATATTTGTTAAACGTCATTCCTTTCAGTCACTCTCACATTTTATACACGTATACAAAGCTGCTTGGACTGCTTACCACTTTTGGTAAGAGCAAAATTAACTTTTTCCATAGCAACTACTTAGCCTGAGAGATTGGGAACAAAAGGGAGAATGTTCCTATGACCCTCTCCTTACTATTCTAAGATATTTTAAAGAAAAGTGTGGGCATCATGATATTCCACCATGAAATACTTCAGCAGTATCTCTCAAGAGGAATATTTTCAACTACCATATGATACAGCAATTCCACGACTGGGTATATATTCAAAGGAAACGAAACTAGTGTGTTGAAGAGATATTAATATCTACACTTCATACTACTCACAGTAGCCAAGATATGGAATCAACCTACGTGTACATCAATAGATGAATGGATACAGAAAATGTGGTATATAGACATAATGGAAAATAATTCAGCCTTACAAAAAAAGGAAATCCTTCCATTTGCAACAATAGTAATGAACCTGGAAGACACTGTGCTAAGTGAAATAAGCCAAACACAGAAAGACAAATACCCCATCACCTCACTTACATGTGGAATCTAAAAAAGTTGAACTCATAGAAACAAAGTAGAATGGTGGTTACCAGAGGCTGGTGAGTGGGAGGATTGGGATGAGGTTGGTCAAAGGATAAAAAAAGTCAGTCAGAGGCAGATGGATTG